CCGAAACAAGTAAGGATCTCTCACCCTATTTTCTATCACGGCATTAAAGCTTAATAAATGATAAAACGGTATTTTATGAATTAATAGATATGTATAATTAATTAAGACTGCTAATGAAACCCGAATCTGATGTATTTTTCGGTCAAGTGTTTGATTTATTTTACAGTTTTGAATGCAGTATGGTGTCTGATGTATTTATTCTCTAGTTTCGTATGCATGAATCACAGTTTCATTTATTATGGTTTGAATTATTGTGAACCCGATGTTGTGTTGCCTTGTTTGGTGTTCATTACTGGTTTACGTGTTTATATTTGATTGGATAATTGAGATTAAGAAAAATAGAAAAAGGTATGTGAATTGATAAATGGATAATGTCGACAGCCTAACTAGATATCTTGGGAGATGGTGGACAGACCGGATCCATAAGGAACCCTACCAGAAACGTGGTCTCTCATATCGAACGGGGTATAGAGACTTTATGTGTTTTGGCGCCCATACCGGACGGGGTATGGGGACGGCCCGTTTCACCTTCATACCGGACGGGGTATTGAGGTTTATGGTTTTGACGCCCATACCGGACGGGGTATGGGGACGACCCTGAAATTAAGTTATTAATGTGAATGGTTCACGTATAGCAGTGACCCTTTATGGATCACCATTGATACTAGTAGGCTGATAAAAGAGGAAATTTGTTGCCTGATGATTAAAAATACAAAAGTATGATATGTATTATGTTACAGAGTGTGCATGACCTTATGATGTTTATAATGTTATTGTTTCTCATAAGTTGTTTTTATGAATCTCACCGAGATAAGTAGACAGTAAAGGTTTTTATTATTGATAAATGAGTTTGTTATAAATTATACTCAATTAATCGTTTTTGTTTTTTTACCAATATTTACTTATGTAATAGTGAGATAGTGTGATGTGTTTACTGGGTTAGTGTAGCTCATTCATTACTTAATCATTTTAGATTAGGAAGACTTAGTTCTCGAGCCTATCCTGCAAGAAGACGGCAAGTAGATGTTTAAAGATTTTATAGTTTTATTTATAATTTTCATCTTTAGTATTTACTTTATTTAGTTAATTCTTTCATTCGTTTAGTACGTTTGAATTATTGTATAAGAGATATTAATGAAAAATTTTATTTCGCTTCCGCATTTAAAATTTTTCTTATATATATATATATATATTTCTTTAAAATTATGAGGCCTTTACATTTTATTTTTGTAAAATTAGAAAAAGCACATTGAAAAATTAATTTATCCGTATAAATAATTATTTATTAATTTAATTTAGCTGATGTATTTATAAGAGTAGTTAAGATTGCTATGACATCAAAATTCAACGTCAGATACAAACGTCTGCTGTGGTCCTTTACATACCGCTGCAATTCAATGAGTAGCGTTGACTTAAACACTACTAATTCTTGACTCTTTCAAACACATAAAGAAAATACACTATTCCCCGAGGAATTTAATATATATATTTTTTTGTAAAACAAAAATACTAATTTTTTAATCCATAATAATTATTTAATTAAGAGAAGATAGTTGTTATAAACTGTTTATTTTATTAAAAATTATAGTAAATTTACAGAAATTTAATTTAATCTAATTACCCCAATACTATTAAAATTTGTTCTACATGTAATGCTATTAGTCTTTATAGAGGTTACAAGGTGTCTTTTTATCAAACAAAAGTCAGATAAAACTTGGGCCAAAATACATAAATAAATAAGGCTTCATATATGGGCCATTAAATTCGAAAATGGACCCTAACTCGGCCCAATAAATGGCCCGGTTCAATTTATTTTTTGTCTTCCAGAAATCGCTTTCCCACTCGTCAAGAAAGTGCTCTTCTGGAAACATTCTAAAACCCCATCGGAATTAAAATCTCTCTTGGCACTTGGCAGTTGCCAACGGAAACCCTACCACCGAAGTCGACCGCTAAACGCCAAGTTTTGTGGTAATTTTAATGGCGATTACAGGTGAAAGCTCCTCTGCTATGTCAAGAACCGAAAATGACAAGCCAATCATTGTTAGGGTTAAACGCAAAGCATCGCAGTTTTCGCTCGACGCTTTTTGTGAGTTACCTTCTCTCCTCACTCTGTTTGTTTCCGTGAAAATTCAGTGGAAAGAAAAAGATTGAGTTTCTCCTGAACGAAAAACATGGTGGCATTATGTAGTATGCGAGTCTTGTGTCTTGTTCGAGGTTCCATTTTCTTTCTGCTCGTTTTATGGTGTTGTCAGCGATACATTTGACCTTATGTGTATCATTGGATGTATAAACGTTTCTAGGGCTGGAAATCAACGAGAGGCCTTTAAAGCGGGCGCTCTTTGATTTTGAGAAGCTATCAATCTCTGATTCAGTTGTGATTGGTACGTTTCAAGAACTGAATGTTGCTTTTATTCATTTGGCTAAGTTTCATTGGATTTTGATTCTTATTTATTGCTTGTTCTGCACTAGAGGAACCGAAAACAAAGAAAGTCCTGGTGCGCCATGTGGAAACCGTTACTAGCTCTGAGGCCACTATTGATGTTTTGGAACAATTTGTGGTGGGTAACAATTTTCATGTTTTTTCTGCTAAGCCCTATACGGCTACAAAAGCAGTTTTCATGTCAATATTCTGTCATTTATGCCTGTTTCTTGTTGAATTTGCTGTTAAATCGTATTGATTTTTTCTTTTACAGAAAACTTCCCGTGATGCAACTGAAGGTAAGAACAAGAGTGAAGAAAGAAGGCTAACTTTCAAAAAGGATAATGTAATCTCCTTATCCTTCCTTCCTACTCTCTCATCATGGTACTTTTAGGGATTGTTAAGAATTTGTTAGTCTAACACTGCAATTAAATTTTATGTCAATAGAGACAAGACCAGCTTTTGTCTAAAGCCAGACAACAACAGAAGGTATGTTCAATACAGAAATCTAAACATTACTTAATTATTTATTTTTTGGAAAGTATCCAAACTTCCTGCGCTTTCCAACTATTTGAGGAAACAATGGCATGATGATATAAAAAATTCATGAAGAAATTATGCTCTATATCACATCAGAGGATGGGTTTGTTATTCCTTATTTGATTACTGCTTTGGTGGTTTGCCTTTCTTATCACTTGTCGATGCATCCTGGGTTTCTAGCAATTTGTTGTCAAATGGTTGGAGGACATCATCAAAATATTGCTTTATAAGTTTATATCCTATTTCACTTATAATTATAAAGAGAAAATTCGAGCATCTAAAAATAAATGGTTGATAATATGCAACCTTGGCTATGATCGACCTTGGTTGATAATAGTACCTCTCTAATCTGTTGTGCACGTTATTATGATTTTTTCATCTTTAAGATTTATTTATGCATGGAGTAGACTATCAATGTAACATCTTTACAAATTCAGAACACTCAGCATCACAAAGAAAAAAATGACTTGGGTTGCTTATCTGACACTCTTTATCCCTTCTTGGACAACAAATTTCTACTATCGTTAGCATTACTTCTTCTTTTGAGTATGATGAATTTTTTCTCTTTGCTTGAGATTTATCAGCCTGAGTACTTCAAGTAGAAATAGGAGCACATGTGCAGTTGATTACAAATTTCTTTTGGTCTTTCATACTGTTTGTTGCCTGCAATTTCAGTCGGTACTATTTCTTTGCTCAGGTATTGGCAGAACATGCTCGTTTTGAGCAAATATGGCGGATCAGAAAGGGAAACAAAGATATGATGCAGGATAAAGCTCTTGATGAAATGTATCGTTTTTATGATGTTGTTCGTGTCGATGTTGAGGAAAGGTCAAAACAAACTCAAGCACAAGAGTAAGCTTTATCAACTCATCAACATGAAAATCATTTGGTTGAGATTGCTGGACAAGGTGTAAAGTATATGGGCAAAAGTTGGGTAAAATTGATTTAGTTTCAGTTATGTTAATACAGAGTTACATCTTTAGAGGATCAAAGAATCTTGCAGAGTTACCTGCCTCTCCTGAGAGAGTTTATACCAAGTGCAGCTGAAGAGATTGAATCTGATATTCATGCTCACATTTCTGGACAAGGTTGTGCATTTTCGATGATGAGCTAAATAAACACACTGTCTATACAAATTTTTTTATTAATAATTCCTATTAATATCGTAAATGATGTTTGATAAATTACTCTAATATGTTGTATATGCTAATTGCAGATAATTATGTATATGACTATTATACTGTGAAGGAGGAGATGAATGTAGACAGTGATGATGCTTCACATGCATTCCCTCTGTAAGTATTGGTTGCTTTCTGCATCTTTTGATGATTACTAACATATACAAGATGCTGATTGATTTCTTGGTTCAGGGTACAAGTTGAGGATGAGGATTTCTACGATGGGCCTGATGACTCGGAATATGACAGTGAGGATTCAAACGGTATCCTAAGTTATTGGACATCCTTCTTTTATGTGTAAATTTTAGTGGCAAATTATTTGACTTTGTTTCTCTTGTTGGGGGGTACCAGCTGAGGATAATCCAAGAAATGATTATCCAGAGGAGATATCTGAAGATGAAGAAGATGAGGAAGGGGAAGAAGAGGAAGAGGAAGAGGAAGAGGAGGAGGACGACAAAAAAGGGGAGCAGGAAAGTGAAGCCTTGGATGAATCGGAAGATGGGAGTTTTGGGTGTACATATTCAGACTATGATGGTTTGGTATTTGAAGATGGAATGAACGACGATTACTCTGATGTTTGGTATGATCGTGATGTTGATGATTATGACGGTGGTGAAGGTGAATATTGGTGATAGTCTAAGGAAGTGGATATGTTTCTGACCTATGAAATGTTAGTGATGACCTCTTGTAAATTGCTGTCTAGAGGTGCTCATGCTGAACTACAGATTCATCACGATGTATCATGGTTGCTTTGTGTACATTCTGAAGGTTTAGATGAATATTTTCCATTGTTCATTCTTCGTCAAGTGAGTCATTTTCTTAGATGAATCACTTACATTTTGTTTCTTCAAATTAGAACTGTTTTAGGTTATTTTCTGATACAAATTCAGAAATTTTTGTGAAATCTATTGAGAAATTTATAAGAAATTTAACTTATTTAACCTAAAAGGTGCAAAAACTTCTATTAAAAAATTATAAAAATTGAACTACATGGGAACTGAAAATGTTATATTTTTAAATTTAATAAAAAAAGATGAAATTTTAGATATATATTATTATAGTTTCACTTTAAGTTTTTTATAAGTTTGTATTAATGATCAAAAAATCGTGAATGAATTTTTTTACATAAATAGTTAAAGAAACAAAAAGATGAGAAAATGAAGAGTTATATTATTATAGGCATCCATTTTAGTGCTTTTTGAGATTTAAGAGTAATTTTTGACAATTTTAAGTAAACTTACTCATAAGTTGCTTAAAGTTTAAGTGAACTTCTTTCAGGAGAACCATGAATTTAGTTCTTTCTATTTCATTATGTTTTTTTATCTATGTATACTTGGTTGTGTGTTTATATATATATATATATAATATTTGTCAAAACACATGGGTTTAATATTTTTTTTAATTAAACGTTTCTCTGATTGTGATTTATAGTTTGGTAAAACTGTACGAATGCTTAAATGAGATATGCATAAGAAGCAGGATGCAAGAATGATTTTATCTTTACTAAGGGATATCGCTGCATGTATTATATTTATCAACAGGGACAATTTCTATTCACCAGTGATACAATATATTCAAATCCTGTGGGTGTATATGTGAGATATATATATCTATATGAACTATGTGCACCAAGAATCACATGGAGATATTGAAGTGAAAATAGAGAAAAGGAGAAGTGCCTTAAAAGAGAAAAAGGAAGAAACTTGAATGGGCAATTTGAGGCAGTGGAAGTATGGA